GAAAGAGTTAATGCTGGTTCTTACCAGCAAGATGGCAGACTGTAGCTATGATGTGGTAGGTGCCTACCAGGCCATGGAAATGAAAATGAATGCAAAACCAAGGTGCAGTATAGACAATTAAGATTATGTCAGCTAGTGCCTGTATGCTATTTAAGCAAGAATTTGGATTTGCAATAAATAGGAAGTTATGAAAATTTTGCAATTACAGTTTACATGAGTGGCAGAAAATCTTATGATAAATACACAGAAGTTATTTCATGGGTCCATGGATACCAAGTTCTTAAAAGCATACAGCATTGAGAAAGCCAAACCTGGATGACTGGATTTTCAGCTTTCAACTGATGAACACATTGGTGATGTATGCAATTACTTATAGTAGCTTTTAATGCATAAAACTAGTATCTAGCAAGAATGCTCTCTGGATACAGTGGGGGTAAGCATATTTGCTTTTTTATGCTTGGAAACTAGCTGGCTTGTTTCCTGTTCTGTTGATGAGTAATACTGTAAAGATTTGATCTCTCAGTGAGGACACTGGATGTTACAGGGGGAAACCCCCCCCCTCCAAAAAAAAAAACACTTGAGTGTCTCTGGCATATTAAGACTTCTTCTAATGTCTAATGTTCACTTGGTGACAGTTCACCATCACCTCAACCTAGTTAATATTAATACATTAAATGAAGCATGAAGTGTGCAGGTGGCAGCGACTTTAGATGTGATCTACAGCTGTTCCCCAGCTCCTCCCATGGACACAACCATCTACAAGTGGTCCTCAGATCTATTAGTTCGGAACCCCATTGCTAGACTGCGGTATATCCCCATAGTAACCTTAATTCAAAGACATTTATACATCAAACTGAATGATTAATTATTTTAAATAATAGAAATATCACTCACTCTAACTCATGTGATTTCTACTATGGTAGAAAACAGGAACTTGAACATGAATGCCATGTACTATCAGTTTCAGCCTAAATGTTTACTTCAAAACAGAAAAAAAAAAAAAAAAAAAAAAAAAACTGGTTCCTCCTTTCCCTCGAATATGTAACTAAAACGAATTAATATACATAACCCAGTGAACATTTTTAATATTTGTTACCCTTCACTGTTTTCACATGCCTGCTCCTGCCAACTAAAGGGAGAAGAAAAATAGTAAATTAAATTTGCATTTGCAACCAGACTTAACCCCCACTAGTTTAAATACCATGTCCCCAGTTAGAGAACAGTATATTCTTTAAGGTTGTACTTTTCAGCTAACATGACTTCAATCTCTAACTTTTGATCAAGGGTATTGACACCTCAAATTGCCAAAAGGAGGCCTGGAAGCTATTAAGACCATTCTTTTACTACAAAAGATGGCAGTCCTATCAATTTTGATTTTGATACACTCAGTTTCTGCCTGACCACATCTTCTGAGGTACTTTAGATCTCATCCAACAGCCAGCACTGTGGGGCAGTATAATGACACAGAGTGACATCCTACTTCACTCAGCCTCCACTTGTTGAGTTAAAAGACTTAACCTTCATTTGAAGTTCCCATATTTAAAGAGAACTGACACAAATCCCCTTGTTCTCTGGCTTTAGTCAAGGTCGTGTGTTTGAATGATTCTAAAACACATCCTTTACACATGTTTGTAATTTTTTAAAAAATGGGATGCACTTTGTAATTGGCTATCTTCATCAGAGACTTTTGATTTGACAATTTTAGGCAGATTATCAGAAATACACTAGTTAGCCCAATTTCTTTTAACACCTGGAGATAAACAACACAATTCCTTACCTTAGGCACAGAACACTCTCCAACCAGTCCCTCTTCCACTGTGTTCTATGAAACCTTAAAAGGTAAGCAGTCTCAGGATCTGAATTACTGCTCAGAAGTACAGCATGCTCATCTAGCCTTACTGAGGCCCATGCTCAAGGCCAACCTCCACAAAACAAGATGCAGTCATTCAAGCTCCTTATTATCACACTGATCCCTTTTTTTTTTTTTTGGCCCATGTTCAGCTCTTTTGCCACACACATGAAATCACTGCTCACTGACAACCCTAGAATTTGATTCTTGAAGGGAAATGTTTCTAATGTCTTTTCTCTAATACTGTATCCTTACTTTCTTTTGCAGTGATGACATCTGAAGATTTCTGTAAAATGGGAACCACTAAAACCCACCCCATGATGCTACTCTTTAAACAGAAAATAATAATGTATGCAAAATCTGTAAGTGGCTTGGCAGTCAGACAGCAGGAAGGGGTATGCAATAGCAAAAGATCATTCAGACAGGGCTTGACATCTCAGATGTATAATGACTTTCAATAACTCTTACTGTGTCCTGAGAGCAGCATACTTTTTACTGTAGCTACATTAGCATTTTTGGCAATGGAAATACACTCATCATTTATTGGCCTACATTTAAGCCATGCTACATTTTTTTTTTTTTTTAAATTTTACCATCTAAACTGCAAACTAAGGATTCAGGTTTGATTCCATCAAACATGTGCGACCCACCCATGAAACTACTGGGTCATTTTTCAGTGGATTTATGTGCTTCATCTGCCACATCTGTTCATGGTATGACCCAAGTCACTGTTAAATGCCATAGGCAAGAGGAGCCCAGTGACATACCAGTAAAATCTAACTTTCTGAAAGACATCTCAATGTCTGTCTTATCTTAGTCTCTACGTTTTTTTCTTTTTAGCTTTTAATTTTAGTATGTATGGTGTCAGGGATTTTAACTTACATATGGCAGGGCAAGCATCCTATCAATGAAGCTATACAGCTCCAGGCCTTAAGGATTGATATTTCTAAGTCTTTATAAACTACATAGACAAACTATAGTTGAGAACCCGCACATGTTTTCAGCAACTCTGTTCAAAACAGATGCCAATGCAAATCTACATGAAGTGAGTCCTTCAGGGCCATTGATGGTTCTCAGGGGGTAAAAAAAAAAAACAACTGAATTCTGAAAGCTAAGTGAAAATGCTTACGATTTTCATGAAGTAGGATGTTATGGCTAAGGATAATTATTTCAAAGCCCAAATGATTTAATTTGTACATTTTATTTCCAAACTGAAAAGATAAAATATAACAATTCATCAACAAGTACTAATAAGTATTTGCAGACAAACGATTGGCTTTTTGTACGGAGTGAAAGAATTTAAGTAAACCTTCAGTTCTTAAGGAAGATTACACTGAAGGAAAATGTCAGCAAAAACCTCCAGAAAGTTTTATCATGTATGTTACAGTACAGATCTTTGTATTCAAGTTAAAAGACTCCCTTTTGCAAGTTACTAGATTCTGTTCCGAAAAGCCAGTTCCAGTCCATCGACATTTGTTTGCTAGGGTGTACCCATCTGCTACACTAGAAGGAAATAACCCACATAGCTACACAGGGGGAAAGGGACAGTAATAAACTAAGGGGCAAATAGGAAATGTATAGTTTAGGTCATCTTCTTTGTATAAAGGATCAAACTTCAAATGGATTTTTTAACTTGCATTTGCAGTCAAGTTGACATCTGGCATCACCAAATTGTAAAAATGAAACAAAAAACTCTAACAGGCCACTTCCCTTAATTTTGATGATTCTGGATAAGAACTCAAAAAACTGGTGTTGCTTAAAATTCTTGCCTATATGGCTCTTAATAATTAGATCCAGCAAAGTAAACTGGTATTACCTATCTTTTTTTTTTTTTTTTAAATGTACATTTGGGTTTTGCCTGCATGTATGTCTGAGGATCCCACATCCCTTAGAACTGGAATTACAGTTATGAACTGCCATGTGGGTGCTGGGAATTGAACCCAGGTCCTTTGGAAGAGTGGCAGTGCTCTTCACTGCTGAGCCATCTCTCCGGCCCCCCAATAATTTTATTTATGTATTTTTCTTTTTTATATGAGTGGTCTGCCTGCATATATGCCTGCAGGCCAAAAGAAAGCATCAGATCCCATAATAGATGATTGTGAACTACCATGTGGGAATTGAATCCACGTCCTCTGGAAAAGCAGCCAGTGCTCTTAACCACTGAGCCATTTCTCTAGCCTGATTTAACTATCTTGATCCGTTAACCAGTCACACAATCATGCTTCAGCTGAATATCCCTTTCCACCATGTTTTCTTGTCCACCAGTTGCTAGTGGTTATGAAGGAAAAGTCATATTTTACAAAATAAACTATTATAAGATGAATTCTTCATTGTTGAAAGAAGCTTGTATTAAGGATCTGAATCTGGTATACAACAGTGTAGTGTCTAACAGGTTTTGGACACTGTAAAACTAATTATCAAGTGTTGTCTTTATTACTGAGGTAGTTCTTTGGTTGAATTCTGCAATATTATTAAAAATCTTGATATCTTTACCCATTGTGGCTATCTCAAAATAGAGAAAGGTGAATTTTATGTTCTTGTACATTCCTGATACACAACACAGCATTTTTATAAACATTAACTTTTCAAGCATGATTTAGGTAATGTAAATATGTTTTCATTCATATGGAAAAATAGATTAAAAATAAAAACTAAAAATTTAAATCCCAGAGCCTTCTTCCTCCTCTCTAGTTCTACTGACAGCCTCAGCCTTCAGATACTTTAAATACCGTGTTTTCATTTAGATGTAAAAAGAAAAAGAATTCAGTAACCTACAAATATTAACTATCCAGGCCAGCAAGCTGAAGGTAAATTTCATAAAAACAAAGTCTAAAAGTTCTATCATGAGATTCCTCATCAATTTCTCAGAGAACAAACTATTTGGTTGGGTCCCAGGAGTGCTGGGGCCGTTTGCTTGTAACGTTGCTACAAAACATTCAACTTTCTCCTATGGTTAATGCTGAGGATGCATTTTTAACCTACAAATAAAAGGGCCTGTGTGGATCCATTAACCTACGTGTTGACAGCTGAAAAATAAATTTAAATTTCATCACACCATTCAGTGTATTTGTAAAGCTTCTGGTTTTTATCTGTGTTTTTCACGTTGAAGAAGAAATCTGACAATTTCAAATCAAAGTCAACAACACTGCAGTGAGGAGAGCTTTTCTACTTTATTACAAAGAGAAGAAGCCTTTATGTGGTCAGAAAATACAAGATTGATCTTTTTTCTCTTCCTATGAAACGCTGCTGTTCAAACAGCCAGAGTGAATTGTCTTAGTTCACGTCTTGAAGTCCCATCACATTCACTTGGGTATGGATGTCCTTGGCTGCTGAAAATCTGGCCCTTTAGTGCACAGGGCGACAAAGTCCCCTGACCAGCAGTTCCAGAATGTCCCATTTTCATATATTGCATCCATGCACACCTCCTAAAAATGAGGTACAGCAGGGCAAACATTTTCCAAAATAGATGTCATATATATAATATATACACATTCGTACATACATACCTTTATTCATGTGATGTCCAAAATTTAAAAAAAATGTACACATTTATTACAAAATCGTAACAAAGACTGGACAGTGTTTTGCTCATTCTGGGAAGATGAAGCTCAGTAACAACACAGCCCTGGAAACCATCCAGAGACTGTGGCAATCTCTGTCTTCTACAGTCAGATTCTTGCATTAAGCCTGGCGAAACTGCCTTTCAGAAACAGAAGGGGAAGTAAAATGAAAGAAGCAGACCTTGCTCATCTTTCCACATGAAATACGAGAAGGATCTTCACATAAAAATGCACAAACATTTGTTATTTTATTACCAATAGTGCTACAATGAACAATGCAAATTTTGTGGTCTAATTTTGTTGAGTCTTTTGTGGGTTTTCTTTTTTACATTTAAGAAACTAAATGGTAACTTCTGTCAGTGTACTTGCTTGTCTTTATAGACCCAAGTCTGTCTGCTGGCAAAAAGAAAATAAACGAAAAAATTCAGACCCTGCTCAAACTAGAGAAAACAAATTACAAATTTAGTTGTTGGGCAGCACATAATTGGTAAGGCAGGACCTCAAATGGTGACCCTTTACGTAAGCCAATTGCCAGATCCTCAAGGAATTAAAACCAGGGTGCCTGAGCCACATCAGTTCTGCGGATCTGTCGAGTACTGTGCTGAGACAGCCATACCCCAAGAAAAGGGAAGTCTTTTAGAAGGCTTGCTGAGCAGGGTTATAGTTGAAGGTGGATGGCAGGTGAGGCCGTTCTTCTAATTTGTCATATTCCAGATGGAACTCCTATAAAAGAACACCAAAAAATGAGAATTATTTCATAGGTCTTTCTAAAAACATCACACACACACACGCACACACACACACACACACACACACACACACAGAATCAAACTCAGGCAGGCCACCACTCTCCTTGGCAAGAACATAGGTTTATACTCGCTGAACCATCTCACTACTCTAAGTGACTCTTTTCTTTCATTTTTGGTTTTGGTCAAACTATATTTACTATAAGAACAATGAAGATAATTCCACATAAAAGAGTAACCCAGGAGCATAGACACATTAGCTGTTTGCCCTTTTAAGTAAAACAGTCTGAACAAGAGGAGTTGCACCTACTATCGAGTAAATACACAAGTATAGACTTTCTGAATATAAAATCAATGACTCAGAAATGTGGATTTATAAAAATTCTGTGCAAGTTTTTACTTAAAAATAAAAGGGGAATTAGTGTAGCTCTAATGCAAAAGACTGAAAATTACAGGATGTTTACATAGTCTATTTCAATGAAGTACAAAACAAAACATGCCATTTTGTTCATGTTTAAAATGAGACACTTTCCAATTAACCTTGATGACATTTCTTATTTAAGCAAAGCTATTCTTTAATCTCATTAAAATCTCAGGAAAACAATGAGCTGAAAACACACACATGTCTAAGAACTCCCATTTCATAAGTGACATAAAAGGTAATTTAAGGGCCATATAAAACTAGATAGTTTTGGTGTATGACTATCTAAAAACTAACTGGATTACTGATTTTAATCAAACTGTGCAAATATATTCCATTTTTTAAAAATATTTTACATTTTTAAAAAATATTTTAAAGATTTATTGTGGATAATGGGGTAACTCACACCACAGTGCATACAGAGGACAAGGTACAGAAGTTGATTTTCAGCTTCCACTGTGTAGGTCAGCTCAGATCCTCTGGCTTGTTGGCAAGTATTTATACCAACAGAGCCATCTTCCTGCCCTCCCCTCTGCTAGATAGTTCAGGATGGCTTTGAAACTCCCTACATAGTCCAAACTGGCTACAAAGTCACAGTCCCTCCCTCCCACACCAGCCTCTTGAATACCAGGCTACAGGTTTGTGCTACAATCTGGCTTCAAAAGGTTTAAAACTTAAGAATGCTACTTTCTATGACCAGCACCAGAGATGCAAATGTAACTGTATATACATAAGAAAACAAATCCAAATACCTCTGTAACCACAGCCCCCGCTCCCCCCTCAGCATAGACGCTCTAAAATTATTCATTCTATAGCCTGAATCTAACTGGCACAAATTATTTTAAAATAATTTAAGCCTCAACACACATTATCTACTGAAGATTAAACAACAAGTACCATTAACAACCATGGTTAACATCTTATTTTACTATGTCTGGTATCAAAACTGACTCCATAATTGATGTTTCTACTATTAAATTAAATGAAAATTCTCATTACTTAGTTAAAAATGAAACCTTAGGCCACAGTGATCAAGGTTTTAGATACCAAATTGGAAGACACCACATTAAATAACAAGTAACTTGACAGCCTAATATGAACTAAAACGAAAGACAAAGCTAATTTTTTTCTAATCTTTGTATGTATCTGGGGTAAGTAGGTATTTTATTATACTGAAGACTGGGATCCAAACTTGGCAGGGTCTGCCTTTCCTAGTGATACACATGAGGGTTTTGTGTGTTTTTATTTTTTAATACTTTTAATTCAAGATTCAAAACAAATTTATTTAATTAAACACCCCAAATAACTTTGAAAACATTAAGTGCCTTCACAAATGTTTAAAAGGTATAATGTGTGACTTTATTCTTTCAAAAGATACTTTCCCTATGACTGAGAAAGGCACAGGGCTGCTTGCTGACCAGGGACAAGGAGCAAATGGCAATCACCATCCTTAAGGTCCCTGACAAGTGGCAGAGATGCCCCTGCACAGGCCCCACCGATGGCTGAAGCTGAGTATTTGCATTCACGTTAGCAAAAATCCAGTTAAACCATTCTTTCAAATGAAAATGTATCTTGGTTTCTAAAACTACATAGTAAAAAAGCTTACCTGCAATTTTGACCAATGACAAGCTCTAAGTTACATTTTATCCACACTGGCAAGATACACTGCTTAAATATATAAATCTCATCAATGTTATTATTTCTCACTACATATTATAGAAAAGTGACCAGTCTAAACCAAGGAAGCAGAAACACTTTACTATCTAAAATACTAAAGATATGCAGAAATTATATGGGTGAAATCTCATCTTCCACTGATAATCTTTTGTCTTCTGTCTCCCACATATTTTTATTAAGTCCGTGAACCTTGCACCACTCTTTTGCTCTCTTCATTACACCTGACTTCATTACCGATAGCATCTCTTACATACACATGTGCACACATGCTATGCATATACTCTGGAACAGGATTGAGAAGGAAACTGCTTTGTCTACCACATCCAATGCTTGGAACAGTGTGAGGTCCTTGGCAAAGTGTAATTAACAGCTTCTGAACTAATGCCAACAAGCATTCTGTGGTGGTTTGAATAAGAACGGCCTGCATAGGCTCATACATTTGAATATTCAGTCACCAGGAATGGAACTGTTGATAGGGTTGTAAGAATTACAAGAGGTGGCCTTATTGGAGGAAGTGTGTTGCTGGGAGGGGGCTCTGAGGTTTCAAAGCCCCATGCCAGCCCCACTCTCTCCCTCTTCCTGCTGCCTGTGGATCAGGGTGTGGGGACTCTGAGCTACTTCTCCAGCACTGTATCTGCTTGTGTGCCACCATGCTCCCTGCCACGATGATAATGGACTTAAGCCACTGAAACTGTAAGGATGCCCCCAATTAAATGCTTTCTTTTACAAGAATTACCTTGGTCATGATGTCTCTGCATAGCAATAGAACAGCAACTAAGTCACCTTTATGTGCTTTATAAAGAGAATACTTAATTAAGGGTGGAAGGGTCCATGATTTGTTTTACTGGAAAATATTGTTACAGGAAAATGATTTTCAAAATCCTAAAAAGAATTCTAGATACATGGAAAGCAACTTTTTTCACAACTCAGTTTTTCTTATGAACAAAATTAGAATTTCTTTTTCTCTCACAAGATTACTTAAGTAGAACTGAATTTACACAGAGGTCTCAAAACAAAACATTTACAGTAATGCCCATCACAATTCTAATTTCAGAAAGTATTAGTTTTCTGCTAACTATAGTAAGTTCATATTTAAATTTTAGGAGCACAAAGTATGTTAAAGATGGTTTCTAGAAATAGTTTGTAAAGAAATGCATAGTTAACTAAGGCAAAAAGATGTACTGATATGTACTACTAAAATTAATGAAAATAATCATTTATATCAAGCATAAAATATCTTGTGCACCAGAAACACTGCAGTATCTATAAGGTTAAGTTAAGCTCTAAGAAGTCTGCAATTTGAAGTCTTTGAGAAAGCCACAGATAATAAGGAAGCTTCATCACCTCAAAATCAACAGGAAAAGAAATAACCTAAAATTTTTACTTAGGAAATTACATATACAATCTGTTATCAGAATTTTTTTTTAGTTAGTGACATGTAAGTACTATAGCAAAATTACAGAGGACCCCATGTCTTGCTAATTATTTAGGATCACCTCATAAGAAAGAATGACCAAAAAAAATCAAAATTTTACATACATTATTATTATTATTGCAATTTTTTAAAGATGGGGTCTTATTATGTAGCCCCAAGTAGCCTAGAACTCAGCGATCTGCCTGTCTCTGAACAATGGTGGTATTATAGTCAAGTGCTACCATGCCCAGCTACAATGTTAATTGAAATTCTGAAAACATATAATGGACCGTACCCTAGAGTTGAAAGTCATATATATTTTAGTGGTTAAATGATTCTGATTTAAATAACTTACTGAGTAATTGTTTTTACTATTACACTTCTCTGACTGAGGAGGCTCACAACATACTTTGAATGCGCAGTCTCCATTTGCTGAGCACCAATAGAGACCCTGTATCACATCCTTATTTATCACACTCTTCACATTATAGCCTTGCAAACAAGATGAAGTCACTTGGTATTTACTATTCTACAAACTCCATTATAAGAACTGCACTTCACTATAATCAATTCATGGATTGAAACTGATTGTTTCCCATTACTATGGAAGACTTTTTAAGGAGTACCAATACAGCAGCTACATACTTTTAGAGACATCGCTTAGAGAATACCTTGGAGATACTACTACTCAGGGTTATCTTCCTACTTCACCACAAATTTTCTCAAGCAGTGAAGACAGTTGTTCAACTGTATTAGGAGACAGGTATAATTTAGCAAAATTACTTAACAAGCGTATGCCATATATAGTCTTATATTTTATATAGGAATAATTTCTTTAAAATAACATTGACCTGAACTAGAAATTGTTTCTGAGGAAAGTAAATAGCTGTAATATTAATGTTTCTGAATATCTCACATTACAGAGGGAACCTAATTCTCAAAAGTCTTTTTTTTTTAAGTTTATTTTCTAACACATAATCTAACTAAATTTTAGCTATAATTATATAGCTATATATTGCTTAAGTGCATTCATTTTTGCATATGCATTTAGAATCCAAATTATTGAACATAAAGCTTCAATATGAATGCAGAAAGCTTCAATTCTCCTCCCTTGTCTCACACAATTCTCCCACAGCATCATCTCATTTACAAGTACGGCCTTAGACCTTATACAGCATCCTCTCTAGAGTAACTTTGGGAACTTGTCAGAAGTACTAATTCTTAGACCCTATCCACAGATTTGACTACATCCCACACAGGAGTTATGGCTCTGCAATTTGTTTAACCAGTTCCCCAGGTAATTCTCAAACAAGCTAAATTTGGAGAACCACAATTTAACCAAGAAATAATCAATTGCAAATATCCATGTTTGGAAGAACAACAGTAGCTTCTAACAATGATAACAGTATCAGAACTACTAACACACACAAGGAACGTTCGCCAAAAGCAAACCCTGTATTCAGGGTATGGGTGTGGGTATACATAATTTCATTCAACCTCCATGATACCTGTTTTGAAAAAAAAAAAAAAAAGGACAGAGCCATAGAAAGGAAACTTGTACAAGTTCAACACAGAAACAGAAGTTAAATTGTATGTTTCTGTTATACTCTTTAAGGAGCAAAAAGAAAAAAAAAACTACTTTAAAATATATTACTTTAAATTAACTGCTTTTGTTTAACTAAAATGATAAAGAACACAGTCTTTGAAATTAAAACATTCTCATAAATTGTAGCTGTTGAAATGACTGACACCATCTAAGAACTAACCACTAATCACATTTACCACTGAGAAACTGAAAAACAAACCAAAACCAAAAAATAAAATAATTTTTTAACCTCTTCTGTATTTTCTACTGGATTAATCCCTTTTAATTTCTCTAAGTTTTACAAGAACTTCTAGAAGGCCAAACTTTTCTATGCTTTATATCTGACAACACTTCATACTATCTTAAAATGTAAAACATTTTAGTACATTGAAAAAAAATCACCACAAAGCAACAACTAAACTACTGCCCAAATAACTAATTCATCAGAAACACTTTTTGTCTGCTTAAATTTATTTCAAAAAGTATCTCATGCTTTTGTAGTACTAAGAATCACTGATGGAAATTATATTCAGAGAAATGGAGTTGGAGCCGTCTGAAAAGAAATGTGAGTCATATTTAGCATAAAGCTAGCTACCACTACACACCGCTGTAAAATAGCTATTGACAAGGAAACTGACACAATGCACAGGGAGACTTGCTCTTTGACAAAGTGATTTTGAAAAGCAAAGTTACAAAATCAAAATAGAACAAAATAATTCACCATTTCTTACAGCCCATTCCCCCTCAATGTGCACTAACAGGAACAAGCAATGGTGAGCATCTGCAATTCTTCTGCATTAGATGATCTGCAAATACTCGAGACTTTCTCTGAAAAGTGTACAGAACCTTTTATAAACTGCTTTTAGATAAAATGTCTCATCTTGTGTAAAGTAACAAGAAAATGAAAATATATGACTGTGATTTTAAGAGTAACTTTAGTAATTTAGCAGTCATAAAAATATTTCAAACGTAGCTGGGCGGTGGTGGCTCACGCCTTTAATCCCAGTGCTCGGGAGGCAGAGGCAGGCGGATCTCTGTGAGTTCGAGACCAGTCTGATCTACAAGAGCTAGTTCCAGGACACCCTCCAAAGCCACAGAGGAAACCCTGTCTCAAAAAAAAAAAAAAAAAAAAAAAAAAAAAAAAAAAAAAAACGTTAAATCTTACTCCATATCATAAAAATCTCTTACCAAATTTAGTGAATTGAGCTGTTGTTGGACACTTCTATGAGGCTTGGCAAAGCAACATTGTTGGACCAGTCATATTGTTATATATTATATGCAAAGGACTTTTTAACGACTATAAATATTCATACATTTTGCACATGGGAAAAAATATACCTTAGCTACTTTCCTCCAGTTAAGACAGTCAAAGAAGTAGTATGTTCCCCTCTCGTATGTGTTGGTTTTCATCGTTGGCTCCATGCCTGGTGCTCTGGTAATCCACACCCGTTCTTCTTTGTGGTATCTCCAATCACGGTTAAAACTTCAATTTTTAAAAAAGAAAGATAGTTAATTCTTCCTATGACCCATGTTAAACATTTCACATATGTGGTAAAACTTTTCTCAGAAAAATTATATATGGAATATATATAAGGGAAGTGTCTTTATCTGGCTCTGCTATTAAGTACAGGCTTACTCAAATACAGTAAGATAATGTCTCTTGTCCTAAAAGCAGGCTTTAGTACACATGTTTGAATTAAGTTAAATAAACTTCATGTAGACAAAATACTTAAAATCTTAGATGGGTGAAATAATAAAACTTGGGCAGACCAAAGAAAGATAAAATATCCTGAACAAATTATAAAAAATCAAACTGAAGCACACTAAAACAACAATGGTGATTTATATTACTAGGTAAGTTACTAAGCAAAAAGCCAATCAGAATTCACTACTTAAATTCACACACATAAATTTTACAGCTATGGTGACAACAGAATATCCATTTAGTAAAGTATAACTTTAAATTTAGATCATAAGCCATCAAAACCTCTAAGAGGATATCATGAGAACCCAGGCGGATTATCTATAGCACTTATAAATTGGGGTAGCAACATCCAAAGGAACAGATGTCCAAGTAAATACATGCTTTCCTACAGTTTGAAAGTTCACAGACATAAAGCATATGACACAAAAGCCAATTACAGATGGAAGAATGATTTGACACATTTATTTATTTATGTGAAGAATAGAGTAAAAGGAAAAGGTGTTAATCCTCATTTCACAAAAATGAGAGGAAAATGGGGGGAAAAGCAAAAAGTAAATTCTCTCAATTGAGAAATTTTAAAACCTGACAATTCAGTATCAACATAAAAGCACAAATAGTCAGGGTCTTGTCTATATAATAATTAACTGACATAAATTAAATAATGATACTTTGTGTCTATTAATCATAAACATCTGTAGTTCTACAAGAACCACATTCAAAAAATCCAATCCACCAACCATTCCACTTCATACAGTTAGCATGCATTTAAAATTCTTACTATGTTACTGTGATTATACAGCTGTAATATGCTTCCAATAGAAATGAAATTCATTTCACTAAATATAAAAATAATTTAATTTTTCTTTCATACTTTTGTTGTTGTGATGATCAGGGAATGACTAAAGTCAGGAGATGTTGGGCAAGTACTTCACCACTCAACAACTTAAATTTTATGGGAAGGACAATTTGCAATAAAAACAAGACTACAACCATCATCATTAAAGAAAACTTCAGAACATCCAAGGTATGCTAGGAGAGAAGTGGTAAGATACTCTGAACATACAGCTCTACTGCAGCTAAGAGTTGTAACACATCTCCTCCATTCATGTAATAGAGATAGAAGAGGAGGTCTTCTCCATATCGGCCAAGCTTGATTGCAGCCAGCTACAAAAGACAAATAGATTGTTCTGAATAGTAAAACAACGTGTAAAAATTTCAAAACACAATTGCTCCCACAAAATGAAAAGTGGAAGGATAACAGAAATCTTCACTTAGCACAATCAAGTGTCACTTCATCATAATTATGCGGTTAGGGAGGGAAGAGTTTTCAAGTGTTTCTTCATCTAAATGAATAAGGTTATTTATTGAACCCTAATCCTGAATCTATATGGAGTGATTCACAAGTCATTCTGTGATTTCCAGCACATCACAGATAATAAGTTTAAAAAACATAGAATCAACACACTATTGTTTAAGCAGATGCCTAAAAGAGAACTTTTCCACATTTCCCTACACAAGGTAGAAAACAGCCTACAAAACTATAAACTACGAGTAAGTGCCATAAGCTGAAACTCTCACATTAACATCAAGCACCTGAACACAAAGTATCCCCCCCCTAGTTACTTGGCTTCTCTGATAAGCCCAGTACAGATTCTCTCCCCATTATCCTCCCCTGTTCAGGGGTGGCAGTTGTGGAAGCAGACATTCTCCGGTATCTTAAACTGCTCTAAGATAAGATTCTGGAACACTTAGGCAACTGCAGCCTCAGGTCTCCAGTATTGTGCATCACAGACTGTGTGTCGAGCGAGGCTAACTTCAAAACAGTTTATGTATTGTCCCATTAGAAACACTTTACTTGGATAAGTTTGTAAAGAAGTAAAAGATTGCTGATGGGTAAAGGCATAAAATGAGTATGTCAGGAGAATGACCAAACTTCCCAAGTCAATTTATTGTCATCAACTATGGTTACAATTAATAATTACAGGAAATATCAGCCCTAACACTGTTTGGTTTTAAAAACATGACCCAAAACATGAATATTACTAACAAAAGTAGAAACAAAATCGTTATACATAACTGAATTGGCAGACAAATGCAATCTCAACTGCTACCAGCATCATACTTTCTAAACTGAAAATAGCACCAAGAAAGTAGAAAATCCACAATGACTGAGAATAGTATGCTATACTCACCTTATCCCTAATGTGAATGTTCGTTAAATATTCAGATGGAACATGGAAATCTGCATAATTAAAAAAACATTCTTATTAACTGACTCTTAGGAAACCTTTCTCTTTTAAAGATTCTAAGCACAAATGGATTCTCCTACCTATGTCCTGAGGTCGACAAGGTGAAGATGCCCAGGGTGATGCAAATTTGGGATAGAGATTTCTGAACAAGAGGTAAAAAAAAAAAAAAAAAAAAGAAGCAATTTTAATGAACAAAGTAGTAAAATGTATAATTTAATTTCAAGAAAACAAGGAAAAAACAGACTTCAAATAAAAAAAGAACAACATTCCTGGTTCCCTTTGAGTTTACTGCAACTTTATAGCAGAAACCAACAGAACTGCTTTCTTCAGTACTCCACCAATAGAAAAGATAGCACAGCAAATTAAAGTGTACTTAGGGACATAATTTAAACGTTCTACTTTCAATTAGCTATATTTAACAATGCTTTAAATTCATTTTTACACTGCTCTCCAATTAAATTAATTTCATGTACACCTCACCTAAATCTGTAACTATTAGGAGCAAGATTTTATACTAAGTATTTATGTGAGTGCTTATTATATACACCTGGAACTTTTCTAGGTACTCTATGTTTTTCTAGGAACAAAACAAAGACTGCTGATACCATAAAACTTATTTTCTGTTTAAGTTTTGGATTGAATGTTGGCAGGTAATTAGCATAATAGATAAACAACAGTTTGTTCAGGGAGAGTCGTATAGTTAAGTGAGGTGGTCAGTTTAACTATTTGACAGGTTTAGATTTAAACAAATATTTAAGGATATGAAAGAGATTATCACAGATAATTATCTGATAAAATACTGTGTTACTCAAGGGAAATACTAGAAAAACTAAGACAGAGACATCTTGACATGAGAAGTAGAAGAAGGCGGCCAGTGAAACCACAACAAATGAACAAAAGAAAAATACTGCTGAGGTTGAGTTAGGAGAAAGGATGGCGTGAACATCGGAGGGATTAATTAGAATGGGACAACAAATCTGCGCCTGGTATTGAGCATAGAAAATAGCCTACTTAGAAAGAATTATCTTGAGTGCTACATAAAGCTGTACAGAATGGGGAAAAGGAAAACCAAGATTCCCTGCTTAGTTGATCTGGTGACAGAATATTCAGGCAACAAACCAGAGGGGCAGCAATTTAGTGAAAATGTGATTGGATTCTTTATCTACTTGAGAGGACTGCATCTAAGGAAGAAGGGAGGAGAGAACTAAGGAGGGAGTTAAGTTTGTGCAAGTATTAACTGAGACTAAAAAGCACAGACAGTATAGACTGGAAGCAGATCACTTAAGAGGTATTTAATTCGTAATGGCATCCAAAATCTCAAGTTCAAGAGAGAAGTCTGGAATTTTCAATATCCACGGTCCTTTCAAAGCTGAAGACTAGACAAGATCATCAAGAGAATAAACAGCAAGGCCTGGAGCTATCAGCAACTCGAAATGAGAGGGATGAGCCAAGCGATCAGATAAGAAGAATATCTTATCTTCAAGATCAAGTGAACAATGTGCACCAACAGAAAGAGCATATTGTGGTCCACTCAATTTACATCATTTGGTAACCTCGCTCAACAGTTTAGTGGAGTGGCAGAGCAGAATCCTATCTAAAATGGTTTAATTTGAGAAAAGACAAATTAGAAAAATTAAGATGATTCACTTGAAATGTCCTGCTTTAAAAATGAATGAAAAAATGACAGTAACTCAGGAGGTTGACTCAAGATAAAGTATCTTGACACTAACGGAAAAATAAGTTTATCTCCATGTAACTAGAAATGGCAAAATGGAAGTGTTGTGAGCTGAATGGAAATACACACACCTGTTATATCACTTAGGCAGAAATAGGAGCTACTCTGGGTCACACCACCAAGACCTGGGAGCTGAGGATGTAGTTAGGGGTAGTGCCTTACATTTGTATAGCACTAGTCTGGATGCTAGTACCACAGAGAAGAGAAAAAGTTAAGATTCACACTACTCAATTCTGAAAATTGAGTTTTCAGAAACTTTTAAGGAGGAAGCAGGGACCAAATACTCTGGCACAGATATGTCAGGTTCAGATCGGCGGCAGGTAATGATATTTGGTGGCAGGACTGGGTGGATAACTTTCTTTGTAAAGTAGAAATAAAAGTCAGGTCATTATTTGAGAGTTAAGATATTAGGATAACAGCTGCAAAAAAAAAAAAAAAAAAAAAAAAAAAAAAAAAAAAAAAAAAGAACAAACAAACAAAACAAAAACACACCCAAAATCAAATGGGTGCATATCCAGTATGAGAACACTTTGAAGTTCCTGAGCAGGAGTATAAAGCAAGTCTAGATGATAAAACTGTGCTTTTCCACAGTCCATGAAGCAGACGGATCAAGAATAAAACAAGCAGATATAACAACGACTACAGACTTTATGATACACGTATGATGGGAATTGAGACAAGGGCAAAATAGCCAAAGCCGCATAAATCAGCAATTATGACTGACCATAAATTTTACTGGAAAGAAGTGGAAGAGATAAGAATAGGAAGCAAGGCAGAACAATTAATGGATGAAAAGTCCCAAGAGGCAAATGATTATAGAAGTCACAGCAGTACAAGAGAACAAATGGATATGTGTGGCTAGAAAGAAGGGCAAAAAGTTAAATTTAGGAAGAGGCAACAGTTCCTAATAATGAGAAGATCAATGGGATGGATAAAGATGTGGCTTAGGGATGGACCCAAATTCCTAGTGATCTATGGGCTAATAATAGAAGGAATGACCCAAGAGTTAAGAAGGCAACAGCAAGTGGTAGCAGACAATAGCGTGTGATGGTGAGATAAACTACAAGTCTGAAGCTGTACAAAGTGGCAAAGGATAATATTATAATACCCACAATGCTTGCCTGGGTTATTCTGTCTTCAAAAAGAAAACAGTAAGTCTAACAATCTATTAAATGCTAGTTTATGTACAAACACGGAAGAAAAAACTTACTCAGGAGAGTTCAGATTGAGGCCTAATGTTGTTAAGTCACTTCCTAAAGCGAGATGTACCATTCCTGGGTCTGTCTCTGCTGCCCTGATAAATGTTAACAGGCCAATCATTCCAAATTGGTCCGTCACCATCCCTTGAGGAATGTTAGTAACTCGGCCTGGTTAAGAAAAACATAGTTATTTCTACTTTATATTAGGGAAAGTAGAGAATATGTACTTTAAAATATCTCTGACATATTTATGGAGTCCCACCATCAGGTAACACCTGGATCCCCTTTTTCTGCTGATTATTGTTTTGTGTCGTTGAACTTTTATCTCCAGGGAATTTGGGCCCATCTGTACTTGAAGTCGTCTTCCCCGATGTATTCAAATTCTGGCATGGAAAAAAGAAAAGCATAACATTAAAATGTGTTAAATACCTAAGTTCAAATGTTATTAATACCATGCTAATTATTCACTATTGCATTAAAATGGTAGAAACTACTTGTTTTCTACTCAAAAACTCTGTTCCCATAACTGCCTCCTGGTAACCAAATGAATACTGTGTCAAGTATTTAAAGAACAAACAATCTAGAGAAAATGGGTCTGTTTCTTCTTTCTTCTTTCTCTTTCTTTCTTTGCTTTTTTTTTTCTTTTTTCTTTCTTTTTTTTTTTTAAATCTCACAGGGAGCATGGTAACATAAAAAAATACCTTTTTCTTTCTCAAGGTTTTTATGCTTTGGGGACACACACTTTAGCTAACACCTTCAACACTTCTATATAAAAGGGGAACTACATATGCTTCCACACGTAAATATTACCAAAACAACCTTGGAGATAAATTAGCAATGTATGAACTTTTAAAAGTCATAGATTTCCATTCTTACCCAACTATCTTCTTTACCATTTTGATTAACTCCCCATCACACATACAAAAAAAAAAAAAAAAAAAAAAAAAAAAAAAAAGCTACTTGCAGTGAATGGTGGAAGAAATCAACACCCTTGTTATATCGGGAAGAAGCTGAGTTGGCTGAATCAACACAGGTATAAAAATGTGTATAAAGATTCTTCAAGGAGAAAACTTACTCAAGAAAAACACAGCTCCTTAGAAGTCTATATTATCAAACTTCATGGGATCCAGCTGACAGGGACTACAATAAAAGTCTAAATTAACTGACAAGTTCAACAGAAATTTGCAAACCTATATGAAATAGGAAAACATAAGACTATCTTCTAATTAGAAAGCTTTCCAAATTCTTCAGAAGTTAGATTATTACAGTGTTCAAAATGCATAGCTCCGTAGTAGTATCTAGTAAGTAACTGTTAATGTGAGACAAGTCTACAAGGGGGAAACTACACACATACATGATTCTCAGCTACTTACAGATTTGCTGTCATCATTACTCGACGTTGGGTCTTTATAGCTGGAACCAGGTAATGCTGGAAAGTCTTCATTGTGTATTGAGAAGTCCTGGGATTGCTCATTTGCAGGTTTTGTTACCATTCCGACTATGTAATGAAAATAATCCAGAAAACATTAATTGGATCTATAATACTATATTACAAATTATATAAAAAGTTAATTTTGCTCATGACAATATGCCAAGTTTTTTTAAATATGTAAAACAATAATTTAAAAATTAGTATTCAGGAAAATAACAAGAATGAAACTGTGATTTACTCCTGAAAAAAAAATCAACATATAAAACAATACAAGGGAAACAATGGTTATCCTGCAATTCTAATCTAATGTTATATAAGTGCTTAAAGTAGGATTTGATATTGGTAATAGTATCCAAAATGTTGGCTTACAGGCTAGCTTTAACTATCAGACCAGATGCTATAAACACATTAGCTGTCAAATGAAAATGAACACAGTAAAATTTTAAAAAGTCAGTATTCTACTTAAAAGAGACTTACAGAGTGAGCAAATTGCAACCAATTATAAAACAATTCCACTTTATTTCTCATTTTCTTGTACTCCATGTTACAGATGTAAAACATGCAAGAACTGGGAAATAATCTTCCCGCTATACTTGTCATTAGTCGGGCCCTTATTGGAGAACAAAATCCAGTTTGGGGCTCCACAATTCAAGAACGAAATGGAGAAACTAGAGATGGTCCAAGGAGAAGAGCAACGGGAATGTTTAAAGGGATGAAAAAAAGGACCTATGAGGAAAGGTTAAAAACATTAGCATCTGAACTGAGAATCAAGTAGCTAGGTACTCAACTTCCAGGGCAGGTCACATTTTGTTATTTTGGAAGCTTTAAAATATGATCAATCAAGTTTTTCTCCACACATTACTTTTTATTCATATCCAGGAAGTACAGAAGTCAAAACCTTTGATTGATAAAGGGGAAAATAGGAGTTCTATTTTAAAGTAACAGCTGAATTAACTCATCTAATTACTGCCTTGATACTGGTCTCTATCAGATCTCACCCCCAAGAAACTATGATGTCATAGACATGATATGGCTACCTTGATAGCACAAATTTTGTATATCTAAATTTTTATGTCTACACTGTTATTGTGTATGGTTCTCCCCTAACATCTTTATTCAGCTCTACTAGTTAAATAATTTACTAGAGACTACAAAAAGAATAATTAGGACTGGAGAGATGGCTCAGAGGTTAAGAGCCCTGACTGCTCTTCTGGAACATAGGCAGAACACTGTATATGTGATAAATAAATCTTTAAGAAAAAACAAAAAAGAATAATTAGGGCTACTTATAAGGGTCGAGAACAAAATCATAAGCACTGGTTCTCAAGAAGGACTATCTTTACAAGAGAACATTTGCTAATGTCTAGAAACGGTGTGTCACAATGTATGGTGCTGGCATGTAGGCTAAAGCTAGAAATGTACTAAATATTCTGTATGAACAAGATGCCCCCACACCACATGCTTTCTGAAAAGAATTATCCAGGCCGTTGTCAATAGTGTGAATCTAGAGAAACCTTCACTTAGAGAAACACCCCAATCCAGAAGTCACTACTAATCACTAGGGATATATTCACTTGAAAAATGTGGGGTCAACTAAGAAAAGCCAAACCACAAAAATAATCACTTGTATCAAACTAAAGTATGGAGAACAGAAGAAATAATTTCTGAATATCAATGAAGTCAAGTATTTAGGTTTCTATACAAAATTTCACCACTGAATTTTGTTATCATGGATATATGGGAAAAAAGTTTTCAAATATGAATTTTCAAATTTGAAAAAAAAGTTTTCAAAATAACACTAGCCTGATTTGATAACATAAACACACAGAGAGACACGTATGTGTGCATACACGACTGTAACTTTCAATCAGCTACCACTAAAAATCTTAATTACCGTAAGGTGCTCTTCCAGCCAAGGGGTTTATTAACGGAGTTGGGTTACCACTTCCTTCCCTTCTATTTCGGTCTGCTAATGCTGGGAAATCTGAAAGGTCCAATCCTGTCACATTTTCACTGCCATCTATATGATAAGAAACAATAATCATTACTGATTTCACCAACATTGAAAATGAGATTATAAAAATTAAATTATAATTTGAAACAACAGTGTCTTCTTCCTTAATAATGCAGAGTGGTGTAACAGGTGTATAACAGTGGTAAGATACTATGGACTGGTTTTCTGTCATGGAATTTCCTAACAACTAAGGAAAGCAATATGCAGCCAGCTCCTTAACATACCTAATTCTAGAGATTTAATACAAAGAATAAAGAGTGTGGTTGTACATTATTTCCCCCAACAGAAAGGGAGATAAAAAGATTACAATTTGCTAGGGAACAAGAAGTAGACTGTTTAGATATAACTGCTTTTTTCATTAAATCTAGATTACCTAGAGCTTCAACAGTAAGATATGATATTACCTCTTACAAATGTCCAGAAAGACTCTGAGACAAATAGTGCACAGAGAACCCCTGAGGACTTCTGTCTTATACACTATTAGTTTGAGATAAAAATGTGTACACATGTATGTATATGTTAGCTATATGCAAGGACGAACTCCTCCTATGTCTCAGGAGCAGGTGGGGAACATAGGAATGACCAAAACCTAGAAGTTTATATTACCTGTTACACAGTAGGCGCTCAATAAATATACTGAATAAAGATTTTATGCATTTTGAATTAGACTGCCACCATTAGAAATAAACATTTAACCTAACTTCCGTATTTTGCCTATTTTAGTAGTTTTTCCTCTCAACTTTTAGTGTTCTTAACCTTGAATTCTAATTTTGAATCACTTAATTTTTCTACCTAAAATTTGCCCTATACTATAATTTTTCTTTAATCTATGTTTCTCCTTGTTTTATAAACATTATAGTTTTGGGGCCACTTTTTAATTAATTCTGATTTTTCTCAAAATTTTTCAATTAAAAGGATATCAACTACTATCTATCCTAATATTAACTTGGCTAATAAAAAGACTTTATTAACACACCAAGGAAGGTAATAATTTAAAACTACAAGGGTAAAGGTAAACCATTTCATACAAATTATTTTAAAAACATTTATAAATTTTCCATTAAATGCAATATGGATAAAGCAAAAGTGGTGAAAATTTTTACTGTTTTAATTTATAAAGTATATTTCTCAAATTATGGTTATTAATTATAATTTTTCTCCAAGTAAAAATTAACTTCTAATATTCATCCTTAAGTCTTCCAATGTCCAATTTAAAATGTTCATGTATTAGGTGAGAATATAATTTAACCAGCAATTTATAATGTCCCAAATGTAAACTTAGGGAAAATCTTGATTGAAAGTAATTTCTCCAGTATAAAACCTAAGAATATAAAAATTCTGAAACTGAGCCTGGGGTTGGTGGCGCGCACCTTTAATCCCAGCACTCGGAAGGCAGAGGCAGAGGCAGAGGCAGGTGGTTCTCTGTGAGTCCGAGGCCTGCCTGGTCTCCAGAGTGAGTGCCAGGATAGGCTCCAAAGCTACACAGAGAAACCCTGTCTTGAAAAACAAAACAAAACAAAAAAACCCCTGAAACTTCAAAGCAGTGTATAAAAACATCATTCAGTTGAAATGTGAGTAGCCTTTCACAATGATTTCACATCTTAAGTATGAAAAAGTGTACACCTTAAAAGCAATGACGTATACAACTTTGTTGTAAGAACTACAAAGTTGGTATGTTTTAAAAATCACACCCAGAAAACTTTAATATTTAAATGCTTAAAATCTTCCATTCCTTTCAGTGGTTTTAATCTTGGCTGATCCACTTCAGCGGTTCAACAAACCACCTCAACACTGAGAAGTCAAAAGCCTATTGCTACCAATGCTTCCTGTCAAGTCTCCTGTCATGTATGATGCATGTTCTACTGCAGAATGTCCTTTCACCTGCCACCTTCACCTATGTGCCACCCAACAGCCCTGCTTCTCTGCCCCTTCAATATGGCAACAACCCTTCTTTTCATCGACAAAGGACAGAGGCAAAGCCACCAACACTGCCACTCCCTGTTTTCCTCTGCCTGAGCAGACTTTAGTTTTTGCCAAAAATCAAGTTTGTTTCCAGTAGCTTAATCGAATAAATAATAATGGGTCAAAATTTGTAAGGGTTAAATGTGAAAACTTTTCTTAAAGCTATTTTGAAAATGGCAAATGCTCCCTATGGAGGACTCTCTTCAATCTGAGTCTCTATAATCAGAAATGTCTTGTCACCAACTCAGTCACTCTTGTTCTCAGTGACAAGGCCAAGGACAGGAAAAGTTTTGAAGAAAAAAAAACAAAAACCAACAACAACAACAGCAAAACAAGATTCTGAGGCAGATACAGACTAAATTAGTATTTACTCTCTTTATATATTAAAAAAAGTAATTGATGTTACAACACAAAATACTACATTACAAGGCCAAGCTGGGGCAGGGGATCATTTAAATTGTCTCTACTGCTTAGCTTAGTCCTATCCCTGGCAGTTTTTCACTATATTAAGTCCTACTATTTAAAACAGTCAAACCTGTTAATGTTTAAGAGACCAGTATGTTAAACTGCTTGTATTTCAGAACTCTACTGTACTTTAGTAGGGTACTAGCTCCAGGATTAGCTTACCTGTTCCATTAAAAATGTTACTTGATAAGGAGTTATTCATTCCAAATGCCTGATTCCTGTTCATTCCAAATCCAGACATACTGGGTACATAGAAAATAATTTTAGATATACAGTAAGAACACTAACTTAGAGATGAAGAAAAACAAAAGTATATACTTTTGGTCTCCTCATATAAAATAACAATATGTTTCAAAACCAATGCTAATTTAGAGTATAATCTTCACTTTTATTTAAAAACTTCTCTAAAATTCTTCAATGAACAAGAAAGAACCAAAGTTTAAATAAATTAATCTTAAAAACAAAAAAAGAATGTATTTATGAATGTTGAAGAACAGAGGTTAAGGGTACCATTAGCGCACCGCCCTCAGAATGCAGGTAGGTTTAAGATTACCCCACCCCGCTGCACCAAAACTTGCTTTTTCTTCCCTGACTGGTCAAGCTTGCTTTTCAGTGTTAAGTCTTCTCTTTACAACCTCTGTCTTTCCCAACTACTCGCTCCCATGAGTCCATGTCTTATTCACTCTGCATTTGACCTGAGTTAAACTGACCAGGTACTCAAAAAAAAGAAAACTGAATTCAGTGTTCTAAAACATCATTTCAGATAGACAGATGATAGGTAGACAGGTAGACAGACAGACAGACAGACAGACAGACAGACAGACAGACAGACAAAGCGAGCTTAGTTTTCATCTACTTAACAGAAAAAAATCTTTCTATAGCACCCCTAATTTTGAATTAATGTACAACTCAATTTCTGCAAACAATTACATTTAACCCCCTTTTTCTTTTTTGTACAAACCTAATCAGGGCAAAACAAAAAAAGACAGAATCTAAATAAGATTCTATAAAGAAACTATGCACCATCTCTATCACTCAGTAGTATTCTGATAGGTCAGCATGCCGGTGAACAGGGCCAAGCATTTGAAGGTAAAAGATGTAACCATTCTGTCTAAGTCTGTAGAACTAGCCATCTTTGAAAAGCTATGCAGCTAGCGAACCAACATTCCAGGGCACAGTAGTATAAATAAACTTTTTTTTTTTCCTATTACACTAGAGCTGCTGGTTGTATAGGTACCTCAAACATGGATTCAGAATTCAAATGAAACAATTTTATATATCAGCAGCACATAGAAGCAGGGATTAAAAGTTTTATTACAGTGACACTTTTTACAGAAAGTATTTTCTGAATAATTAAAATGTGAAAAATAAAAGCAAAACTTTAAATTTAAAAATATCTTCAATGAACAAGAATGCAGAAAGATACAATAAAGCCCAAGCAATAGTTAGGACGCTATAAAAATAAAAAGGTAAGAGCAGCAACAACATGCTGCAAATAATTTTTTAAAAACTTAGGTATGTAAAACCTGTATAGAATAATGGAGTTTATGGGATAAAGGTTGAACAGAAAGTGTGCTAAGCACTGATTTTAGTGTAGATTTGACAGTGGATAAAAGAAACTGATTGAGATGAAGGGGAGCAACAACTAAATGAAGGTCCTTTCACTGTATAGTTTTTCATAAAAATTAAGTATAAACAGAATATGACACACAACTCAAACTTACTATGTTGCTTTTGTAAGGAAGCCTTACATTTCAGATACAAGTCTCTTGTTACCCAAACCACTTCAACATACTAGCAAAATGAATCATTGTTCTTATTTGTACAGTACATGCAGTGGATAGCACAAAATGAAAAAAAAAAAAAAAAAACCCATACACACCAGCTTTCTGTTTTGTTTTGTAACTCTAGACACAAAATTTAAGAGTACTGTTTTGAAATAGTATAATTGTGAAGTCTTTCCTTAGTAAGTACCCAAAGTATTTCAGCTCAGAAGGCATCTAAACAACGCATAACTCAAGCATGGCAGTAGCAATCAAGCATGCCTGCCTCCAGTCATGTTCATAAACCCACAACTCAAGTAGATAAACTTTACTTAATAACAAATGGAAGGATAAAACAGTAAAATTTTGCTTGGTGACAACCCAAGAACATTCCCTTTCTGGTACTACCATCAGCAACAGATTTAACATGCTTTTTGAAATAATAACATCTTTCAGAGGTTAAGGACTGTGATGGGCAATGATCTTAGCTCACACATACATGATAAACACACCTGTAGCACAGAAGCCACAACTCAGAAACAGAGGGCTGGATATGAAAAGGCAATATATGCAGTATCAATAAACATCTTACCTGTTCACAGTAAAAGGCTGTCGAGAAGGCTGCTGCTTTGGCATACATATTATGCTTGGCGAGCTTCTGTTGGGGCTACCTAACCCTGAACTGCTCATGCTATTTGTCCTGCTAGGAATTCCAATGCCCTGACCAACCTGGGAGTGGTTCATCATATTCCTAGGATTCATAGGCAAAATACCCCTGAAAAAGAAGTCCATTATACTAAATAAGCTCTCTACAATCACTCATTAAAATTCTCTATAAATAATCAGTTGCTCTAACCCCTAGAATTCCAAATATACATTTCAGTTGTATTCCTAATTTTATAGTGAAACTTTAAAAGGTGCTGTCATAGAGAACTACTGGGACAACTCTGATATAAAATATAAATGTTTTCCATATATATCTAAAATAATTTCATTCAAATTTCATTATCATTCTATTCTCTTGATATTAATAATACATATATGTTATCTGTTTTATTTTACTCTAATTAAGCAATAGATGTGTGGTGAGGGAGCAAACAAATCTGGGGAGTCATTTTTAATTGAACATCATTGAGGAAGAGGTATTTATATATATATATATATATATATATATATATATATATATATAT